ACCCAAACTAACCAAAAAAACCAAACACCCGCCCTCCCCCCAAAACCCCACTCCAAATTTTCAAGCATGTCCTCAAATACCGTGTCAAGATGCTATAGAGAAACATCTATGTAAACCAACTGCAAGATTATTGCACTGAGTTTATCTAGGTAAAACATTTGGTATATATACAATACTTTGCTTTCTGCAACTTCAGTCCTTAGAATTTTCTCTTATTATTGTACTACTAAAGCTACCTTCAACTGAATCCTGTTTCAGGCTCTTACCACAATCACCCCTTTTTTTTTTTTCTCTCATCTTTAAGTTGTCAAGTGCAGTTAATTATGCATTAGCAGATATTTCTACATTCTGACCAGACAGAATTGTTATTCCCACAATCAGTTAACAAAGCTATAATAGCTAACATTTTTAATACAATTCAACAGCAAAAAAAAAAAAAAAAAAAAAAAAGCAACTCCACAGCATGTGATTAATCAGATTCAGCAACCTTCCAGTACATTGTTTAGAAACCATTAACTTTGCTTTTTACATTAAAGGATTCTAGTTTTGTTGTAATTTTACTGGAAGCTCTGAATGTACTTTTCCCATCAAGAATTTATGGTGTAACGTTCACATTACTTGCACTAAGTCTATCTGTAGTATAAATAAAACCACAAAAACAACTGCTCCAAAACACTTATAAAAAAAGCATATTGTACATGATGAAACTCATTAATAAAAAGTACTTCAGGAATTTAGTTTTACCTGAAGGAACAGCTGTACTGTTCTGGTGGTTTTCACCAGGTGACACAAATAAGTCTTCCTCCCCTTCAGTAGATGAACTGGAAGAGGATTCGCTACTGAGATCATTCTCACTGGAACTGCTAGAGCTGGGTAGTAAAGCATACTTTCTACGAGCTAACACTTCCCGCTTTTTCCTCTGCATTAAAATTCGTTCTTTTTGGTTCTGTGTCCGCTGTGACGAACTTGTTTTCACAAATCTCTTCCTATATGGAAGTCTTCTTAAAGAATTGCTATGAAAACAGGGCCTTTTCATTAATAACCCAGGTACAGAGTCTGCCTCAGTCCGAGGCCACTTTTGTGACCTTGCACTATGAGTTCTACTTGTAGTATTCAGCACTGCCTGAGGGTGTCTTACAGGAGCATCTTTTTCTTCATCAGATGTTACTGTGTCAGAGTCTCCAAAATGTAGGCTAGATGAAGGCGAAGAGATACAGTCACTAAAAGAAGAATCATTGTCTTCACTCTGTGTTTCTAGATGCTGTCTTAATCCTAAGATTCCTTGGTTTTCTTTATCAGGACAATTCTGAGTATATGAAGGACCAGCCTGCTGGCTCTTGCGTTTTTTTCGCACAATACTTTTGTCTTGGTCCGTACGGTTGCCATTCATATCCTTCTGCTTGTGAGAATCACCACATAAGTGAGAGAACTCATTCCCTACTTTACTGGCAATCATCTCAACTTCTGCACTGAAGCTTTTGGCTGCCCCAATAGGCTCAGGGTTCAAGAGGATCCCCTTCAGACTCTCCTGTCTTTTTGGTGCATCCGAAGAAACTTCACTCTTCATATCCGCTTTTAGAGTATAAACTATATTACATTCAGGAGTCCATTTAGACATGGAAAGTTTTAAGAAAGGCCTAGAAATAAAAATAGATACACATCAAGAAAAAGAAGCATCAGATTTTGAGAGCAAAACTGAAATAAGAGAAAAGCCATTTACTGCTAAGACTAACATCCCAGCAGGAAAAGCAAAACAGCAGTAACTGAAACACAACTATTTCATAATATTAAGAATACTGCTTGACAATGTCATTTTTAATTAAGACAGAACTCTTATAACTTGCACTGAAGGGAAGTTCTTGTAGTCAGTGAAAACATTATCACCTTCATGGAGCAAATATCGACGTATGTCACCTGCAAAATGTATGGACAATGTCTATTTTACCAATGCTCAAATGTAAGAGTTTTACAGGCTACTGCTTATAGAACTTAGGTAAGTTTAAGCTAAATAGCTCCAATATTTGGTCATCAACTAAACTGCATGTTTAAATAAGGCGTACATCTTCCCCTATAGCTGTATATACGGAGAGTAAATACCTCAAACAGAACGCATGGTACCGTATGGTGAAGAACTGAGCTATAAAAATCAGTTACTTAGAATTCACGGTTCTTTTCTGACACAAAAAGGAATAAAACAGGAGAGATTTTGAACCTTATTGTTTTGGGGTAAAGTAATAGAAATTCATTTATTACCTAGAGTTTCTTTAAAAAACCACCACACATAATAGTATAGAGTAACACACAAAGCTATTTTCAGTCCATGTGCTTTTGACTCCATCCTGTGACAGAAACCGAGTGTATCATATCACACGTTCCCTCAACAGTTGGTACCAGGCAGGTTCCCCTCCCTGTCAAAATATTAGGCTGTCAACATAAAACAATGCAACATTAGCCTCAAAGACTATTTCAAAGAAAATCTTTTGTACTGGAAGACTACTGAGACACAGGCAACAATAACCTCAGTAATATATTCACCTTCTTCAACCTATTTATCTGGCATCTCTGCCTTCTGTTTAAATGCCCAAAAGGAATTGACAAAAGAATTTGGTTCCCACTGGGATAACCACTGAAGCACTCTTTACTGTAACTAATATCACATTTTTGTGCCTCAGATGAATAAGGCTATAGTAGACATTTGACCCTTGTACTACTGAAGCAGTTAGAAGTGCTCTCTCTTTTCTCCCTCCCTCACCACTTGTTTGAGGTAACATCTCCAATGCTCTTCTAGAATAAATGTTTATGCACTGAACCAGAATGTAGAACTGACCAATCTGAAAAATACATTTCCCAACCAGATCAGACACCAACCAGTTCATCACATAAGCACACAAACAGCTATACCTGGCTTACAGCAGGTTGTGCTGAACTACCAGAAGGCTGCTTAAGAGAAATATGTGCAACTATACTTTATGTAGAAGTGAGGCTCCCTGAGCAGCACAGCTGGAATATGCATGAAGCCACAAAAAAAGTCTAAGGTAGCAAATGCAAGATCTATGGCAGGTTAAGTAGCATTGCCTACTCAGGTCCATAATCTTCTGCCTGAACCTCCAAATTCTTCAAAATGCTAACGCACTCTTACATCTAGTGCTAATATTTAAAGCTCTTGTTTATTTTATCATAGAACAAATCAATACAAGATTGAGACTACAGAACAGAGTCAAATCAGCATTTCTTGGATTGTTTCACAAACTAATGCTTTCAGGAGCAGCTGTGAGCTAGTTCTTCCTAACAGACCCTGAAGAATTACTTATCTCAGTTTGCAACAGGTATAAATTGATGCATTATCCCAGGCAGCCTGTGTTCTCTTCACAGCCAAAAGCAACTAATCTAACTCTTCAAGTGATGTAGTCTGGAATAAAAATTTTGCACAAGGCATATATGCTGCAGTACTAACATTTAAAGAAGCCATAAGTTCACTGGATCTTTCTGGAGATCAAGAATCAAGTAAGTTATAGTGGAATGCACTATATAAGGCTACCCTCTGCTCCAGGACTGAAAAAAGAAGTTGCAAAATTGGAAAACCAACTTGGAATAAACGTTAAGAGTGTAAGAAGTTTACAAACGGAAAAAAGAAGCCTCTATTAAAGCTGTGGAATTCTGATATCTACCCTTCTCTGCTCCTGACAGCTCCTCAGGAAAACACCAGCTCTCACATACTCCTCCCTGTGCATGTACTTACCCTCACATACATGCATCATCTTTCTTTGGAAAAATTAAGACCAAGACTTCCAGTTTATAAAATTTCTAACAAGGACAGGAAATCAGAGTTCAAACCTGTTACAAACACAGAGAACAAGCAGTACATACTCTTTTTCTCATTCTCACAAGGTCACCTTTATGGCAGTATTTTTGGTCCGTTATTTACGCACCACTGTTTCACAGAAATGCAGCACTTAGTCAATCTTTTCCACAGTCCAAGAGCAAGCCAGCCCCTCCCACAATAACCCTGTATTTCATGACAAGTTTTTTTAGAAAATCCACAAAATATTTTGGTTTGGGAAAAAAGTTAATTTATTCAGAGAGCTTATTGTCTTCGAACACAGTCATAACTTACCATCGTATACTACATGTCCAGCCTACACATAACAGTTTCCTGTCCTTTTAACAGGATAAATTAAGGGGACAATTTTACTTAATTCTGAAGAATTAAATTTCTTAAGAAACAAAAATCTGAATATTTTCTCATTATGTAAGCACAGTCAGGGGCTGGTTTACAAAGGACTCAGTTCAACTCATTGGAGTGCTTTTCCCCCCTCCCCTGTTTTACTGTTAAACTCTAGTGTGGAAATCTCCATCAGCATCAAGTTCTGCATCCTGAATGTGATTATCTTTGTATAAGCTCTGTTTACTTTAGCACAGAGGCCACTGTGCTGAAATACAGATAGAGCTATTTAAGTTACAGCAAAAAAACCAGAGCCAGAAAGTTTTACACTTTGAGAAACCTCAAACTACTGTACGATGACAAAAAACCTAAACCACCACAGAGTGAAAACTAGTGCACTTGAAACACTATTAACTAGCTTAGTTTTATTCCAAGAAGCAGCTTAGATATAATAGCCAGTTAACTCAGATTCAAACATTTTGTATATTTGCACTCTTACAACCATGGAAAAGTCTGCGGTAACTCAACTAAGTAGTCAAGAACTCTTCACTTTTGCTAACCAATACAGAGCCTGAAGGACTGCTTACTCATGGGAGAGCTGTTGGCTTCCAATTAAAAATTACACAACAGCTTAAACGTGAGAATATTTTTGAAGTGAATGGCAGCAATGAACAATGACAAATAATCCATTCCTTCACTATTTAGAAATGCTATTACAAGCCTTTGAACAAAAGATTTGACCAAAAAAGACAGAAGCTGGAAGAGCAGCTTACCATTTAACTGCATTCCAACCCACTGTAAGTATTTTCAGTAGTTAGGCATAAGAAATACCCACACTACATATAAGTCCAATGCTTTTACACAGAAGACAAAGTTTAAGCGGGACTACAAAAATATTATGCAAATAATTAAGACTCATTAGAATCAGATCATCTGCTGTTAAACATTTAGAAGATCCTACAAAATCTCCCAATTAAAAGTAGTCCTCAGAAGCTTTTTCAAAAAGCAGCAAGATGCAGTAAGCTAGCTCAATCAGCATCAGTGTTCCTCTTTCCTAATCAAAACATTTGCCTATTAACTTACAGAATCAAGACTTTGAGAGGAAAAATGGGGTAGTATCTTCTTTTAAGCCACTTTAAGTGAAGATTCAATGAAGAGCTGTTAAGACAGCTACCTCAAAACTATAGTTATTGTAAGTTCCCCTCTAAAGTGTATGACAATTCAGAATCATGAAGTGTACATGACTTTCATCCATTTGTGTCACAAATTAAAGACCTTTGCTATTAATCACATGCCAAGACATAGAGCAGTGCAAGATAATTTGTGAAAACTGGGGAAGTCCCTCGAAATTGATAAGTCAAAACAAAAAATTCCAAGTTTGAGCTCTTTACAACAGACAAGTTTATGATCACATATAGAAGCAGAACACATCTGAGTTATAAGATGGAGCAAAGTATTTTGTCATTGAGAATTAATTCCATTACTATCAATCAAGAAGTAAGATAGCACTAAAGCACTATAAAACAGTGAAATGGTTCATTACACAACATTAACTCAATTTTTTTTGGTGTAAACGGGCTTGATGAATACATGTAATCTAATATGTCATTACTTTGAAAATGTATTTTCAGTTACGTTTTAAAATATAGTCAACTCCCTTCACCATCAAGAAACAATCTCCTTTTCAGGTGTCAAAAAGCACCTCGATCAATTCTCTCAAGCTTGGCTACACTAAGTAGTACACAGTGCTTTGAACACATGACCAGCCAACCACTTTGCAAAAAATGCCTATCTTAAGCACATGCTTCTTGCATAACCCCAAATTACTGGTGTCTGTCCTGTTAGTGTAATACACACACCTAAACCCAGCTAGCCAAATAGTTTATTCAGCAGATATCTAGACTTCTAGCCAACTTGATGAAAAGCAGTGAACAAAAAAGCTTCATTTACAAAGCAGTTAGTAGGCTATTTCCTCATTTTCCCCATCTTCAATTTCCTGCTCCTCTCTCATTACAAACACAGTAACGTCCCCTTGACTGATGCACTCTCCACCACTCGGTCCCAAAACACACTTACGGGCAACTCAGGTATCCAGTAGGGTTGAGCCTAGAGGCCAGTACAGACAAAAATTCTTCCCGATGCGACAGCTCTCAAGACTACCAAGAGCTTGTGGAAGATAGTGTCGTCATAATCTCAGAAAGAACACAGCAATTCCACTTGCATAAAAATTCTGTGCTATCTTAGACCATTTATGTACCAAACCTAAGTGCCCATATATAGAGTGGTATCAGGCAAGAAAATATTTAAGATTGTCTCAGAAAGGAAGTTTCTACCAGTTGCATTTGTAGGTCCTTTATTCAGTTCTAACTCTTATTTTCTTTGCTTATGTTCACTGAACTCACTAC